CAGACTGGCTAACAGTGTCATTGTAGCACCATCAAGATAAAATGAGGAGACAACTTGAATTTTTAAAGTCAAAATTTCACTTTCGAATTTTATCACAGCACTGCACTTCTTCCTTTCTGCACATCCATAGATTGTCCCCCGTGTCTGCGAAAGGTGACGGGGAGAGAATCTGCTGAGGGCTGTCGCCAGCTGTTAGGGACTACAAGCACCACTTTTGAGCTTTTTTAACCCGCACATTCCGGGCCTGCGAGATTAAAAGTGGCACCTATTCAGGTGTGAATGACGCCGGCTACAAATTAATGCTTGTGATTGGCAAAGTGGGCGGTGGAGGCCATTTACCGACAACGACATGAGGCAAGGTTTGAACCAGTGCGTCAGTTCAGACCCTGCGATGCGTTTTTCCAAAGCCAAAGTGCCCTCACAGAGATCTACTGTGTTAAACACAAAGGGAAAGAATTAAAAGCCATGCTATGACGTTTCGTTTAAATGGGGTAATAAGGTCCTCATATTTCTATAGGTTTTTTGCATATGCGTTTCGACCATTTAATGTGCTACAAACAATGAGAACACGGACATTGGAAGCAGCAAAGCAAATGAAAGGCCTGACTCATAGTGATGGCAGGGAATCCGGTGAGATTTCTTTCACCTGAGCTGCTACTTCAAATATGAAAGTTTGAACTTATTAGAAGGGATTCGAGAAAACTGTTATTACTGATTGAATCGGATGCATCTGGTTAAATGATAAGTGATAAGTACAGAAAAGCGGCACACTCCTTCCATTAGTGGGAGTCCGAAACCGGTTAGCCGGGGGCAAACAGTGGGAAATAAACCGGTTAGCCGGGCAATAATCGGTGGGAAATAAACCGGTTAGCAGGGCGGCAATCGGTGGGAAATAAACCGGTTAGCCGGGCGGCAATCGGTGGGAAATGAAGGGAAGAGTCATTAGCCTTTTAAAGGGTAAGCAGGGCGTGCAGTAAGAGTCGTGATAAATGAGGCATAGTGAAGCATGTTCCTTCCGCAGCTTGACCGCCCGAAAAAAATTATTGTGGAAAAGCAGAGGTGCATTTTCTGCGGAAACACTTTGAAAGTATCCAGGTAAATCGTGCTATACTTGCCTATTTGGCTCGTGACATATGTTGAAAACAATACTGCTGTGTCGGGTTTGCTGCGTCTGCATCATATGCAACAGCAACTCAAAGATTAACAACAACGTCAAAGATTATTACATTCCAGGTATGACAGACATCATAATTTTAGATCTTGAAGTCTACACGCCGAAGGTTATTGTAGTGGCATTGCCACCAGGTGCAAAGGCTGTTTTACTGGGTGGTTGGTCATGACGGGTGGAGCTGAACATGCTGCTGTGCTCATTGCGCTCTTCGGCAACACCAGAATACGCGTCGCAGTGAGGCATTGTAGCTACCACGAGAACTGATGGCGCCGACTGCTGCGCACATCAGCAGACTGTAATTCTCTGTTTCGCCAAGTCCTTTCGCGGTATCCACAGCCCTCCGTTCTTTGAATGAGCTGTCAAAAGCGCATCTTCTATGCTAATCTGTGCGCTCGTTGAGCAAAGCCTGATGGGTATTCATGGGCATTCATAGGACTGGCAGTCTTCCTCAAAGCCGCCTCTGACCGCATGCCCCGGTAGTTCAACGGTGAAGCGTTCAGAGCACCTCGTTCCCCGAAGCGCCCTTTGACGGGTTCCGTCGGTCCGGCGCGGAGATAAGGCGTGGTCTTCCCACCCGGCCGCGTTCGGCGGTCCGTCGTGGGGACGGCCCTGCGTCGACTGCAGATGCCCGCGGGGGTCGGGGGCAGTGCTGACACCTTATGGCGCCGTCAGTGAATTTATTTGCCGGCGCACAAAGCCGTCGGCAATGACAATTTCGCTCCAGTTGATTCGCCGCCTACCGAGTCCATTCGAGTTCGGCTCGCCGCCGCGCCAGCTGCCATTCGAGTCCGCCTCGCCGCCGCGCCAGCTGCCATTCGAGTTCGGCTCGCCGCCGCGCCAGCTGCTATTCCTCGCCGCCGCGCCAGCTGCCATTCGAGCTCGGCTGTCGTCACCGTCGGAGCCTCATGAGCCTCACTGCGTCCGGGGCCTGCACTTTGTCTGGGATGCCCCCTCCCCAACAATGACGCGCTGCTGCTACCGCTGCCGCACTGCACCGGGGCTGGGTGGGTGCGGAAGGGGAGGGGTACGGAGTGCGGGAGTCGGCGCAGGAGCAGCCAGTGTCTGAAATGCTTGGCACGGTGTGCTTTCTCGCGGCCATTTAGCACTGCACCGGACGCGGGCTTGCGCTGGATGTATTCGTAGACGGGGGGGGGGGGGAGGACCGGGGTACGTGCCCTCACCTCATCCAACCTTGACGGAAATGCTCCACGCTTGAAAATACTGAAGCAAGCATCAGATATGATGAAATAAACTCAGTTGTAACTTTTGATATACTTTCAAGTTGATAAGACTGCTCTAGACAACACAATATTCTAGTTTGGTAATTATGCTTTTCAATGCGCCATCGTTTGATTGTCATCGTTCCCTGAAAAAACTTGATTGAAAGCCAATCGACAGCTGTTACGTTTGGAATCGTGCTCACGAACGACAGATGTAAACGGCTCGGCAACCATATTTTTCAAGGCCTTGATCGCCACATGACTGCATAGAATGGCAGGATTTGAATGGCATTATGATGTCATGGATGCCTGGACGACCTTGAAATATTATACACGAAAGTCCGTTTGGAAAGTCGTGGGTGTGTAGCTCAGAAACCAGATGGCCTTAAAAGGGGTGGGGTTGTGAACTGCACTGAATGATCTTCAAGATAGCTATTTCAGCTCGAAATATCATAAAAGTGTGGAACACTTCCTTTAACATGCATAAGTATGCATAAAGAGAAGTGAACAGTTCAGAAGTGGAGACAGTTCAGAAGTGGAGATGAATGCACCAGAAGGAGTATATTGAAAATGTGACATTCTTTCCGTCATGTCAGGAATTTCGCGCGCCTTCACTGAGCCGAAATATCGTGTTTCGATGAAGAGTTTTAAGCGGTGCCCCTCCCATTGAGAATACTACATACGCCCTGACTGGACCCGGCCTCTGGTGTTTAGTGCTGACTTCTGGTGTCTGGTGATGACCTCAAGTGTCTGGTAGTGACCCTGGTGCCTAGGAGCGACCTGTGATGTCAGGTGGTGATCTCTGGTATTTGGTGGTGACCTCTTGTGTCTGTTGGTGACCCCTGGTGTCTGGTAGTGAGATCTAGTGTCTGGTGGTGCGCTCTAGTGTCTGGTAGTGACCTCCGGTGTCTGGTAGTGAGGTCTAATATCTGGTGGTGCGTTCTGGTGTCTGGTTGTGACCTCTGGTGTCTGATGGTGACTTCTGGTGCCCATAACCAAGGGCGAGCATTGCATGCCGTCCCCCGGCGGACTGGTGTTGGGGCCCGACTCATTTCAGCTCCGCGTCGTCGACTCATTATGCCACCAAGTCGCTCAATTGCCGGGTTTGGTCATGAACAAGGGCTTAAGGAACGTCCAGGGAGTGATTGTTACGGCGTAGACAGCACTGTGGAAGAGTCTTCCAAGCTGGCACTGGGCTGGACTCTGTAACATTAACATGTGCAGGTGCGTCTTATAGGGCCCATAAATCATATTCGGTGATGCATTCGGAAAACGAATTTGAGACGCACAGCGCTTACATTGACGCTCGGACAAAAATTTGAGACGCACAGTACTTACCTTGATGCTCGGACAAAAACAGTGCCCAATAAAACAAAACATCTTATGAAATGTGGAAATCACAATACTTCATCTCGTGCGCTGCCCGGGATGTGATGAGATCAGTTTTAAATGTTTTGTTTGAGCTTTTTCTGCGTAATTAATGTGAGAGATGTTGCACAACAAAATGGTGCAAGCATCTGCACAGCCTGGCCTATCATGTCAGCATCAGTCATGACAAGAGCTGAAGATAATCTGGAGCTTTAGGCACGAGCTTAATTTTGGAACCTGTTGGGTTCAAGTCGAAGCCATCCACAGCGCCAAACTGAACAAATACGACCGTAAAACATTGTACGGTGCGTAACCCCTATAATCGACTCCTTCCAGTATCTACCAATCGTGCCTACAGTTCGAGAAGGGCAACCCTGAAATTAAGTGTGGCGCTTCCTAAGGCCTTGAATAAAACAGCTCAAACTCTTATCTTACAAGTGGTATCAAAACATTAACAATTAGTCGTACCCACAGGCAAACTCAGGGCAGGTTATTGAAAATCACATGGGGCGTTTTTGACGCCTTGGAACACTCGAGAACTAACATTAATTGTTTCCACCTTTGGGGTGCTTTTTTGTCGCCATGTCTATCGTATTAGCTATCAGTGATACCTCATTTTGTCAAAAATAATGCATTATGAAAAGAAATGGTTTCAGGTAAAGTAAGATCAAAACAGGTTATTCCTGTAAATGTGAGCGATCTTCCATGTCTCTAAGTTTAATTTCCAGCCTGGTGTACACATCGCCCGCTGATAATTTTTTTGTTGAAGCTGATTCACATATTTGGAAGAGGTGGACGTACGGCAGTATTTTGGTGGCACGTCGGGTCAGATGGAAACGCTAGGCAAACGGCATGGGCTGAGCATATATGTACGTCAGTGGGCTGCTGTTACGTCGCAAGAACTGCTATGGTTTAACAGCGGTGCTAAATGTTTTGAATGCGTATGGATCGTTTTCAGAGTGGTGAAAATGGCTAAGGTTATTTCCGTGCGGAAGCGCACTTGATAATTCAGATTTTGAATATGTTTCATGCACGCATTTTGACAACAAATGCAAGTTTATCTTGCGTTGGTTGTCAAAACGCCTGAGGGTAATCCAGTGCAGCTGGATCAATGATACCGGCGGATTCAGCCAGCCCCTGGTGTGTAGATTCAGCAGACATTGGTCAAGACTTGAGCCGAGGTCATCACCAGCTCCCCGCCTGGCACGGCCGTCACGTGACGCCTCTGTTCTGCCCGGCAGGCCTGCTGTACGAGGGGCCGCACTTCGTGACGGAGCCGCCCGGCCTGGTGCGCTTCACCAACAGCACGGGCGCGCGGCTGGACTGCCGCGGCGGCGGCACGCCGCCCGTCGACGTGCGCTGGACGCTCGACTCGGGCGACCCCGTCGCGTACGTGCCGGGGGTCAGGTGAGCGCCTCGCCCGCCAGTCCGGCCGCCACAGCGCGGTCTCCGTGCGGTCTGTATGACGCCCGCTCTGTAGACCGGAAAACTGTGTGGTGCCTGCTCTTGTGGACGGGTGATCTGTTTGGTGACTGTTCATGTGGACAGCCAATCCGTTTGATGTCCGCCCATGTGGACTGATCATCCGTGTAATTCCCGCTCATGTGGATTGGCGATCCACGTGGTGCAGGCTCGTGTTGATCGGTGATCTGCGTGGTACTCGCTCATATGAACCGTCGATATGTATGGCGCCTGCTCGTTTGGACCGGCGACCTGTTGAAGCCCGCTCATGTTGGCCGGCGATTTGAACGACCCGCTCGTTTGGATCGACGATTTGTGTGGTGCCGGCTCATGGGGACCGGCAACCTGTGTCGTGCTCGCTGTGTGAACCGTTGATCTGTGTGGTGCCCGCTGTGTGGACCGGAGATCTGTGTGGTGCCCGCTGTGCGGACCGGTGATCTGTGTCGTGTCCGCTGTGTGGCCCGGTGATCTGCGTGGTGCCCGCTGTGTGGACCGGAGATCTGTGTGGTGCCCGCTGTGCGGACCGGTGATCTGTGTCGTGTCCGCTGTGTGGCCCGGTGATCTGTGTCGTGTCCGCTGTGTGGACCGGTGATCTGCGTGGTGCCCGCTGTATGGACCTGGGATCTGTGTGGGGCCCGCTGTGTGGACCGGAGATCTGTGTGGGGCCCGCTGTGTGGCCCGGTGATCTGCGTGGTGCCCGCTGTGTGGACCGGAGATCTGTGTGGTGCCCGCTGTGCGGACCGGTGATCTGTGTCGTGTCCGCTGTGTGGCCCGGTGATCTGTGTCGTGTCCGCTGTGTGGACCGGTGATCTGCGTGGTGCCCGCTGTATGGACCGGGGATCTGTGTGGGGCCCGCTGTGTGGGCCGGAGATCTGTGTGGGGCCCGCTGTGTGGCCCGGTGATCTGTGTGGTGCCCGCTGTGTGGACCGGTGATCTGCGTGGTGCCCGCTGTATGGACCGGAGATTTGTGTGGGGCCCGCTGTGTGGACCGGAGATCTGTGTGGTACCTGTGCAGCAGACATTCGCGCGGACGCGGAGACCAGTGTAGATCAACAGCAGGAGCTGCCCGTGCGTCGCCACTGTCTCTCTTACCACGGTGTCGCACACGTACACCTTTCAGCTAATCCCCTGCGGAGCAGTGTGATTCTCCGTGCATCCCATCCCTTCGGTCGCTACTGAATTAGCAGCAATGCCCGGCATGGCTCGCGCATGAGTTAGGTATGATCCTTCCTATGATCCTTAGTTATGATCCTATGATCCTTGACATCATGAGAGCATTCGCCACGTGAGCAACAGCGAGCAACACACGTAGCTAAGCTCATAGCACACGAGCCACAGCTCGGATGTCATAGGTCCGCTGGAGGCTATCACTTCGCCCTCTTTATTTCGATTTTGGATTTTGAGAAGTCGCTCCCTCCGGGATAAATCCCATGGGATTCCCCGTCACCGCAATTGTTGCAATAGTTTTGATTTGTGGGACTTCTTACAACCAGTGTGTTATGTGATGTCGTCAATACGCCAATCGGCCAAAGGGTTTGTGTAATAAATGGTGCGAGAAGTTGAAACACTCTTCTTAGGGAAATCTATATACAAATATGAGGCCATTATCACGTGAATTCAGCGAAACGTTGCACTGCGGCCTCTCCCCAATGACGCAACATCCCAGTACCCTTCCTTCACATTCCAAGTCCCGACGGCTGTAGCTTAACTGACTTATAATAATCGAACACATTTTGGGTGCAATAGGCCATATATAGACTACTGCAATGACAAGATCAAAAGTATACGGTAACATCATAAACGCACTTACTCAATTCAGCGAACTATGTTTGGTTTCGTTATGATGGCAAGAGCATAATATAATTATGTTTAAAATTGCTACATTTATGTTACAAAACGCTTAAGCCTTCTTTATGGTTGCAGCTGAAACTCTCCATTTTTTGCGACTGAAATAAAAATTGGACAGAAATGGGTATTGAACACTTTCTTGGTGCAAATGGGAAATAAGGTATACGTTACAAAACATCCCGTTCCTTCACTGCTTGCGCACCGTAAAATGGTTTATACTGGTGTTAAGTGACAGCCTCCGACCGCGGTCGTCTTTGATAAAAATGTTCTGATGTGGGGCGCTGATATTTTGGTTATGTGACTGGCATGCAATATTTTGTGAAAATTAGGACTTCACATGTTGACAGGGCAGCACCGAGCCCTTGGAAGCTATCCTTTGTCTTCTACATATCTTGTGGAATTTAAAGAGCCAACAATAGCTGTGGCTTTCATAGAGGTGAACGGCGTCCTGGTGTCCCAGTATCGTCTATGCACGGGATGCCATTTTAGCCTACTACAACAAGAAGGAAGATATGAGTTCCACAAATAAAGTTGACGTGCTTATGATATGCTGTTGGTGAAACAGCCCCACTTCCCAGCGCTACCTATATTAATGACAAGTCGTAATTGTTATCATCGCACGTTTTGAAATAGGTCTGAAGGTTGGACACTCCTTTTAATACGCACCTTTCATACGCCATAGCTTTTTGCCTCACGATGCAGTGATGCCACGGGACACTCTTGTATTCTGTGGACCACATTAGGGGGCGCGTTCATCAGCAACTCATTACAACACCACAGTGTGCTTCTATTTACATGTATTCATATTGCCTGCCTCAGTCAGGATTGTGCGCCTGTATCGACTCCAGGATCTGCTGCCCATTTGCCAGACCTTGTCTTTGGCGGGGCGGGACTTCGAGTCCGTGGCCCCGCGCCTTTTGCTCGGCTCGTCCACAGAACGAAACATCGATGTGGTGCTGTGACCTAGGGCCGATTTCACCGGCCTCATCTGTGGCGAGGCGTCAGATATTGGGTGTCACCAATTGGTTCAATCAGCGGTAAGTGGGAATGATGCATGACATTTTCTCGGAGTGGATCCCAGATGGCCAAGAGCTGCGCCTGCCGCGTGTACCACCTTTGTTTGCGTCTGGCGTAGTGTTTTTCGTCCTCCCTGTGGTGCCGCTGAACAACGCTACACCAACACCTAACGTCGTAAACAAACACGCTTAATGACAGTGTTGTTTATTGGCCCCGGCGCGGCCACGCTATCATCTCGCGCGCCTTGTGCTGTATCCGAACAGGCGCCTCATCTCGGCCTCCACACCGATAGCGGAACTGAACCGACAGTCAGTTACGCGCGATCAATGCGGAGATGTACGGCCCGCGCGGGCGCTGCGGCGTCCGGCGGCGCTGGCCGGGGCTGCTCGTAACTCGTGCGGCCTGAATGGCCGCGTCGGCTCCCGATGACGCTCCGTCACGGCTCGTGGGCCCCGGCTCAGGCCGCTCATCACGGCCGCGTCCGAGGCACGTGATGCTACGATCGCGCTGCGGCCGGGGCGCACGTGGTCGGCTGAGAGACGTGCGGAGAGCGTCGCTGGCGTCTCGTCTGGAGCCAGCACGCGCCAAACTGGTGCAGCCCCGCTCCTCATGGAAAGTTTTAGTTGGCGGGCTTGAGTAAGAGCAAACTAGGACTTCTTATGCTGGGAGAATCTTCTGATGATGTTATGGAATCTTTACCTTAATATAAGAGCCCTTACCTCTCAAGGGATGGAATGTCACATATGGTGATAACGTGACGGTTCCAGTGATTGTGCCAAATTAATTTCAAGTCCGATGCAATATCTGAAGGTTATTTTTTGCCATTTAAGGATATTTAATCCCAAATCTGTACTCCAAAGATCTTCATGATGTTTTCCGTGGAGTCTCAGTAGTATGAAGAACGGAATTCATAGATTAAGTTCGTTTGTTATTTACAACGGATTTTGTGCATTTACATCTCACCCCGTTCAGTTCTATGCTCTTCACATCGCAGATCCGCAACTCGGTGATTAGAAGCCGAGGTCCCGGGACTGACACCGACATTTGTTTGACGAGGCCGCCCATTGTACGGGCTTCGTCAGACGCCGGCGCCCCGTCCTAGGCCGGACAGGCCCGGGAGACGGCCGCGCGGAGGCCCGCGCCCGGCACGTGCGAACGGCCAGACAGGCTGGCCGACGAGTGTCAGGACTGCCAGGCTGCTGGCCGGCGAGTGTCAGGGCTGCCAGACTGGCCGGCCGGTGTCAGGCCTGCCAGACTGGCCGGCCGGTGTCAGGCCTGCCAGACTGGCCGGCCGGTGTCAGGACTGCCAGACTGGCCGGCCGGTGTCAGGACTGCCAGACTGGCCGGCCGGTGTCAGGACTGCCAGGCCGGGGCTGTCGAGACCACTCGAATGGCCGGCGGGTGTCAGCACCGGCACTCCGTGTGGAGCTCGATGGCAGGGATGTTGGGACCGCCAGGCCGTGACTGTCGGGACCACCAGACCAGCTGTCGCGACCGCCAGGCCAGGGCTGTCGGGACCGCCAGACCGGGTTTCGGGATCGCCAGGCCGGGGTTGTCGGGACCGCCCGGCCAGGGCTGTTAGGACCACCAGACCGGAGCTGTCGGGGCTACCAAACCGTGGCTGTCGGGACCACGAAACCGGGGCCGTCGAGACCATCAAACCGGGGTTGCCGGGACCGCCAGGCTGGGACTGTCGGGACCACCAGACCGGGGTTGTCGGGACCACCAGACCGGGGTTGTCGGGACCACCAGACCGGGGTTGTCGGGACCACCAGACCGGGTTTCGGGACCGCCAGGCGAAGCTGTCGGGACCGCCAGGTCAGGGCTGTTAGGAACACCAGACCGGAGCCGTCGGGACCACCAAACCGGGCTGTCGGGACCACCAAACCGGGGTTGTCGGGACCGCCAGGCTGGGGTTGTCGGGACCGCCAGGCTGGGGCTGTCGTGACCACCAGACCGGGGCTGTCGGGACCACCAGACCGGGACTGTCGGGACCACCAGACTGGGCGGCGAAGCTGTCGGATGAAATGTTGAGAGTACCGTGTGCTTTTAGAGACTGGCAGGATTTTACGTGCGTTTGG